ACACTACAATGGAGAAATTTGAAAACACGGCTATCTTTCTATGGTTAGGCCTGCCGTCTCCTCTAACCCGCCATGAAAACGCTCTTCAAACAGGAGGAATTTGAAAACACCTGCTTGCGTTTTGGTGTGGACGGGAAACATTTTGAAAACAGATCTTTTCGAAAACGATGACATCGCGATAACCAAGCGATTTCCCTGCCAGAGTTTTCCTCAAATACAAATCAAAATGACCGGTGATTGTAGCATTTTCCAAATTGTTTCCGTGTAGCATGCAAGGAAAACATTTACTACGTTTTTATATGTGATCTGTTGTATTAATAACCTGTAACGCTGACGGTTTTCCTGAAAAGAACTGGTTAAATCAGTTTATTCACTCATCACATTAACTTTTCGTTTGCTTTCTTCAACTCACTGAATCCAAGATATCGCTCGCTTAGACAAAAAGACAAGACGAAAAAGACAAAAAAAAAGACAAAAAAGTTCAACAAATACACAAACCGAAAGAAAACAACGAAAACACTCGAGTTCACTCGCTCAAGAGAAAACCGCATCTGACCTTCAAACCGCAACATACTTAAACAAGAAAGATGTTTTCCGCATAATTTGACTTAATTGAGAGGTTTTGATAATGACATACGGTAATTTATGTGATAGAGAAAATGAGGTATTTCAAAACCACCTGCAGGCAATAACTTCCTTTATAAATTGTTGAGTGCTTTCGAGCACGTAGGAAGTCGTTTTTATTTTTTGACTGCAGAATTCGGAGGATAATTACCTTTTTAACAGAAGACTGAACGGAAAAAACTGTGACACAACCCATGGGCATAAAGTTCATATTTATATTTATGATTAAATTCAGATAAAATATTTTTAACAACAAGGGCATTACATATATTATTAGGAGATGCTTGTTACGACTATAACAAGAAAGCCCACATTTCGATTATTTGCCGTTTGAACTCCAACTTTTCCTTCCCTTCGAAGATTTTTGAAAGATCTGTCCTCAAGGACCACACAAATAGCAAAGCAATAAACTACCTGGCCGATTTTATTAACGAAAAATGCAGCATCGTCCTTTTTTAGGCGATATAATACAAACTAGACACGCATTTTACAGATCCCTTTTCCCATCTTGTGAGAAAATAGCTGCCAAAAGAGCGAGTTGAAAGAGCGGCTAGCCCGCGAGGTATTCCGAAGTTGACTGTCTTAAAATTCTAATGAGCATGCGCGTCACGCGTCACGTATTACATCCTAACGTGACATCTCCTCTTCTAAGACAGCTTAGGAAAATAAGCAAGTTTCCAACAAGTGAACAAGGTTTGTCGGCGGTCCGTAAGGTTTTGGGTGTGTACAACTACTAAATCACCCAACGTTCTTTTAGTTTAAACTTATAGTGGCTTGACAGTATCCTATATAGTTTCGATAAGACGCTGTGGTGATCTTCGAATCCGTAGACCTCTTCTGGCGGGTTGTTCCTTGGGGTGTGATTCCATTTCAATTCTGGCGTTTCGATACCAGCATCAGTGTTTGGTTGCGTACAAGGATTTGACCCATCACTGGCTACTGCTTCCCTGCCGGGCATGGGGCTGGAGATGCCTCCTCCTTGGTCGGCTGAAGATGGAAGCGATTTCGACGCATCTACGTTGCATCCGGGGTCGCCACAATGTACGAACGATGGGCCTGGTGTTGTTTGACGACCACCGCAAGTGTCCATTCCCGTCCCTGCTTCATTTTCACAGGTTCACCTTCATGTATTTTGGAACGTGGTCGAGTGCCACGGTCATAGAACGCTTTCTGACGTTGTTACATGTCAGTAAATTGTGACGGATCTGAGAAAAACACCTAGGCTGCGGTTGTAGGAGGCTCTTGGAAGTTGGCACTCCTATTCTAAGCTAGCGCTTTCGACTCATAAGTAGTTCTGCTGGAGATTCATCCATTCCACTGATAGGGGAGTTACGGAATTCTAATAAGCGAGGAATGCATCCTGTTTGGACTCGTCAGCAAGTTCCTTAGTAATTGCTTAACGGTCTGTATGTTTCTTTCCACGAGACCATTAGACTTCAGGTAGTGTGGACTAGAGTTACCACGTGAAACTCCCACTTAATGGCAAAGTCCTTAAACTTCGCACTATTGAAAGGCATTTTGTCTGCGATAAGCCTCTCTGGGATTCCATGACGTGCGAACATATCTTTCATTGCCATGATAACTGCTTATTCTTACTAGAGAGGCGAGCTACTTTGAAAAATAGTCCACTACGAGCAGGTAGTCGCTCCCTTTAGAGTAGAAAATATCCGCTGCGACTGTCGCCCAGGGCCTCTCAGGGACGTCTTGAGAAATCAAAGGCTCTCGCTGGTTGCTTCGCTGGTGTTGCTGACAGTTACTGCACTTAGATAGCGACTCGTCAATTGCACTATTGATACCTGGCCAAAACACTGCACTCCTGGCCCGCGCTCTGCACTTCTCTATTCCAGGGTGAGCAGCGTGTATACGTTGTAGGATTTCGGGTGGCAGGTTATGGGAAACAATTATGCGATCACCCTTGAACATCAACCCCTCGTAGCAGGTCATTTCATCTCAGCAGTTCCAGTAAGGTCTTGTCTCAACTGGTGTCTCTACTTTGGTCCGCGGCCATCCACTCGTGACAACTTTCTGCAACTGTTGAGGTTCAGGGTCACTCTTAGTCTCGTCCCTCAACTTGTGAAACATAGTCTCAGACAACTGTCTAGAGTCCAGGACGTGAATATCAAATTCATCAGGTGGATCTACAGCTTGGCCAGGTAAGTAAGCTCTGGAGAGCGTATCAGCTAAAACCAGATGGCTGCCAGGTATGTACTTAACATTGACTGGATAAGGCTTTACTCTGAGAATCATTTTTTGAATACGGAGAGGTGCTTGATGAATGGGCTTCTTCAAGATCGTTTCCAACGGTTTTTGATCACTTTCAACTGTAATCTCTCGTTGCCCATACAAATAATCATGAAACCGCTCACATCCAAAGACAAGGGCCAGCATTTCTTTTTCTATCTGCGCATAATTTTCTTGGCTTGGAGTCAGGGCTTTGGATGCGTAAGCGACTGGGCGGTCATTCTGCAGAAGAACTGCACCAAGACCTTTTGAGCTTGTATCAACAGACAGGGTGACTGGTTCTTTCGGGTCAAAGAACTTGAGGACTGGAGCTGAGGAGATTGAAGTTTTCAGGCATGTTAATGTGTCATCTTCTACATGTCCCCAGGACAATTCAACATCTTTCTGGAGTAGCTGGCCGACTAGAGCACTCTTCTGAGACATGTTTGGGATGAACTTAGACAAATAGGTCAACACACCCAAAAATCTCTGTAAGTCTTTACGACTGGCTGGGGTTGGCATAGCGATTATTGCTTCAACTTTCTTAGTGCCTGGTTTAACACCCTCTGTACTCAACACATGGCCCATGTTACTGCTGGGTCCCCTGTGAAGACACATTTAGGTTTGCGCATGCGTGGAGGTGGCCTCTTCGAACGGGGACCACGAGGCCAC